ACCCCCCACCCTGAATTCTGTAAACCACCCCTCTCCCTAAGGATGCCTGAGTGCACCACGCCTTCTCGCCAACCTCCTCCTCACTGCCCTTCCTTCTGGAACAGCATCCTGGGAGACGAGGTCATTGGCATCTGGCCGCGGAACGCGGACAAGGCGGACGTGAACTGCGCGTGTGTCACCCACGCCGGCCTGAACATCGTCACCGGGGACGACTTCGGGCTGGTGAAGCTCTTCGATTTCCCGTGCGCCGAGAAATTTGTGAGTCTGCCGCCGAGGCGCCCGCCCTGCCTCCCTGCTCCGGGCACTCCCCCCGAGAGAGGACACAGACAGCGGCCACATCCCACGGCCGTCTGGAATCTAGAACAAGAGGCTCTTGTTCCAGCCCTGCGGAGGCTGGGGAACCCCTAACGGAAAGATGGACTAGAGAGGGCCGGAGGCTGGATGCCAGGACACAGGCTTTCGCGAAGAGCACCACTGCCTGCTGCTTCCAGAGCACGCGCGGAAGAGAGCGAGGGCCGGGGTCCATGTCCTTCTAAGGGGAAGATAGGGAACGGGGCTTAGGGCACTCAGCACCAAGACCTAGGGACTTAGGAATCGGGGGCTTAGGGTATTTGGCAGGTGCTCAGGAATGCTCAGGTTCAATGCTCAGGAATGTCCGGCTGCAGGTGGGGTTTATGTCTGTCCATCAGGTGAAGGAAGGGAGGACCCGTCACCAACCTTTCCACCTCCCTCTGGAGGGCGAGTCCTGGGAGCTGGGAGGAGGGAAGATGAGGTTGGAAGAATGAGACGGGAGAGCCTGCGAGAGGCTTGCTGACAGATGTCCCACCCAAGGAGTCTCCCGAGGGAAGGAAGGTTCTAGAAAGAGGGGACTCTAGAACGAGGGGACTGGAGTCCGTCAAAGGAAGCAGCTGTGGTTTCTGGGAGGAGGAGGAGGAGGAGCAGGGTTGCTCAGGGTCCCTGCTCACTTTTGCTCACAGGCCAAACACAAGCGTTACTTTGGTCACTCGGCCCACGTGACGAACATCCGCTTCTCCCACGACGACAAGTACGTGGTCAGCACCGGAGGAGACGACTGCAGGTGGGTGCCCGCCGCCACCCGGCTCGCCGGGCTCAGAGCCCAGCCTGGCACCCACTCTCACCCTGCTTCCGGGGCCTTCGCAGCAGAACCGCCACCGGCCGTCGGGACGGCCTGGAGCCAGGGCTGCTTTTGACCTTCACGGCTGCTTTGTGTAAAATGGCACGCCGTTCTGTGAGGCGTGACCGGGTTTCCAGTGTTTTCGGAAGCTCCCCTGCCCAGCCTGCTCTAGAGATGGCATCAGCCTCTTCTGCATCTGGGGCACCTTCTGTCCCTCCAGGAAGGCCAGTGCCCGTCTGGCGTGGGGAGGGCCAGGGCGAGCTCAGCTTCAGTCATCGATGTTGGGCAAAACTCTTTAGGGGCTGGATGGTGGGGGAGGGGGGGGTGAATAAATGCATGCACTCCAGGTTATTTTTTAAGTGGTCTGAGAGAGGCTGTGGACAATGAAAATGCCCCCCAAGGAAGCTGAGGACCTGCTTGGGGGCACCCACTTCCCATCTGCTGTGCCAGCACGTAGAGCCCTTGAGAGAGACCTGAGAGCAGCTCCCGGGGAGTGTAAACACCCATTCACAGTGGCACCAAGCAGCCACGGCCATCCTGTACACAAGCCAGCAATGGGAGACAGGAGAGAATGAGTCGCCCGGTGCAGAGTGTGAGTGACTTTGGATTGCCGTGAAAGGCCCGAGGCCTCTGTAGCTGGGGGGAGGGGGGAGGGGAGAGGGAGGAATGCTGTGATCCTGGCTCCGTGCTGAACACTACAAGGGCTCTCCTACTCAAGTGGAGCTGATAAGGCCTTTTCAACAGTAACAAGGGAGATGCTGTGAAGTCAGATTGCCAAAAGTCCTCCCCGTTCAGCACGCTCTGGCTGCTGAAAGAGCCAGGAAAAAACAAAACCTTTAATAACAATAATGAATTTTAAAAAATGGCGATCTTTCATTGGTGGCAAGATCCCAGGTTCGCAGTTTTTGTTCCCAAAACGACAGGCTCTGCGTCACCTGGCAAGGTGGTTTGTGTCACTTGGGACAGCAGGTTGTCCACCAGGCACAACCGGCTGTTTGTTCTGCTTTTTCAGTATCTTTGTGTGGCGATGTCTGTGAAGGCCAGAAACCGCTCCCTTTCTTGCTGCTGCTGCTCCCGCCCGGCGCCTGCAGAGGCGGCGCGAAGGTTGGACCACGCCTCCCACGCGGCCGGCGCTCACGCGTGGTAAGACTGCACACGGGGCCTCCAAAGCCGAGATGCCGAGAAGGAAGGTCAGTTCTAACATGCTAAGACTGCTTGCCTCTGTTCCTGAGACTAAAAACTCTTCTGTACTAACAACACTGACAAAGCATCCTACCTGACAGTGTAGCCCGCGGACAAAATGGAAAGCCTCAGTTACCCTAACCAATATGTAGCTTTTAATTTGCATCAGAACTTTTGCAAAAGGCGTTTTGCTATTATGTTTCTACATTCTTTAAGAGTTGTTCTTTTTTTTTTTTAACAAATAAGTTGAATAAGACAGCTCCGGGTAGATGGACCGACGTCCTAGAACTATCGGTTGCCTCTGTTCTCCCCATTTAGCTTTCAAAACCAAATGAGCCATGTATAAACGAGTTGAGAAACTTAATTTTTTAAAAACATTTCGTTTGCAGAGTTTTCTATCCATTAAGTGCCTTTGAAAGCTTCCAGTTGTGTGGGCTGCTGTCTCACCTCCCACAAATGATCTCCTTTTTACATCAGGTGCTAACACTTCCAAACTGAGGAGGGCTACTTAGGAGTTTCCTGGTCTGTCACCCATGTCGCCTGTTTATATGTCCAGGCTTCTCAAAGGAAGGGCATCAGCTTGGGAACTAGTGGCTATAGGAAGGTGAGCAAAAAAAAAAAAAAAAGAAGGAAATTCAGGCGGGAGGGAGTAGGATGAGTGTTCAGTATGTTTAGTGCCAAATCTACAAAATCCAAAATACTAGAAGAAAAGAAAAAAAAAAAAAAAAAGGAAAAGAAGCTCAACCAGTTCCAGGAGGATGAGCTGATTTATTTTGTTAAATGGGAACAAATGAGGTGATCTGAGGCTGACTGAACACCACTGATTTGCTTCTGAATTATATATATATATATATATATATAATTCCTAAACCCAAACAATATTTGATAAATCAAGATTATATAATCTAGCTTAGCTTCCTCGGAGCCGGCTGGCTAACAGAGTGTGAGTTGGACAGTCTTATCCAGAAGACAGCTCCAAACCACCTCAATCATACTTGACGCTCAGCCAAGCACTGGCAGGAGGGATGACGGCACACACTGGTGACTCCGAGCACATATATACCAGTGAGTCCTTGCGGTCAGTGAACTAAATTTTGGGTGTTAAGTTACTGGCTAGCTGCAGTTGTCAGTTTAGAGAAAAGGCGAAATGAAGCAGTTTTCAATTATCTAGATTAACATTTACCACAGAAGTGCTTCAGCATTCTAAATGGATTAGGTCATTCATTAAGCTATTTTTATATGCCAATTTATTAATGCCTTACATTAACCCACTGATAGGTTGATGGGCCCAGTTAGAGTCCCTCTGCAGTCCTAATTGTTTTTCTGTAACCATGTGACTGGTGATGCTGAGTGATAACCATGTCTGCCTATATTGTACCACTGACCTTTCATATGACTGAATCTTGCATAGAAGTGCTGGTATGTACAGCTATATTTACAGAGCAAATAGTGTCTGTGTACCAAGAAAACTTCCAGTAAACATTTATATGGTATGATTTTATGTATGTTCATAAATCCTGCACTGTATTCTATGTTAAAATAATTGGTGCATGTATTTATTTTCAGTTATCAAAGTATAAAAAGAATTTAGACATTTTGGTGTGTGTCAGATTTGATTAAGTAAACACAGCTGCACGAGAGGCTGAAACCCTCACCGGCTGGAGCAAAGTCTCTTCCCCGTTTGTGTGTACTTCTCATCTGCTACAGTTTCATGAAACCGAAATACCGAACATATTTTAAGTCTATAAGCTTTATTGATACTTTGCTTTTACAGTTCACAAGGCATTCCACGATTTAGTTCCAGTACAGCTTAAACCACAACTGTAGAAATCTTCATTTTGTAATTTCTTGCATAACAATGTTTGATATTTGCGAACAACATTTTTGGAAGCATTAGATTCAGTCCATAGGTTCAGGGTGTGGGGCAAAATCAACTACGGTAAGTCTGTGCGGTGAAGTTTATAGGGTGAGCTCTTTGTGCATGGCATCCTTTCATGTTGAAAACAGATGGTAGTGCGCCTAGAAATATATTTTTTTTTCCTGCTTATGTATTTGAAACTACATAACCACATATAACCAATGACTCTGAAATATCAAGCACGGTGGGGAAGCTGGAAGGTAAAGGTCTAAGCTTTGTGAAACACTATATATAGATAATATATATAATCTATATTTACTTATATTGGCAATTAATATAACAGTAAAATTCACAATACACCTAGAACATACCAGGAAGGCAAACTTTTCCACTCCTGCTTTAGTGGTATGATCTTGTCTAAACATTTCGTTTCAGAAAATCGGCATCAATCTACACAGACCATACACACACAGTGCACAAACTGTGAAAAGGGTTTTTTTTTTTCAGCTTCATGTTCTCTGCAATTCCCCAAATACAGCAAGACTACCTGCAACAAAGCGTAACATACAGCTTTCTCAGATCTTTGTTATTCACCAGTGCCTCGGGTAGGAAAAAAACAAGTATGATCACGGTTTAAATCCATACGTAGCAGCTTACAATACTTAAGAGGGTGATTTTTCCTCAGACACTGCATTGCTAAAAATAAAGATCTGTGACACTGCAATGTCAAGGCGCCATTCTTCCCTGTCCCTCCCCCATGTAATCAAATGTATATCCCCTTGAAAGATAAACTCCTACTGTGAATCATTTCTGGCTTTTTTTTTTTCATTCAGCTTTGCGTTTCAATCCAGGGATTTTTGCTTGGATTCTGCAAATGAAAAGGAGGGTGGGGGGCGGAAGTTCAATGTAAACATTTTTTAGTATTTTGTTTTCTGCTTCTTAAAATGCTATCCTTCAAGAATGACTTGTTACAGTAGCTTAAACAAGAAATGAAATCCTCAGGTTGTCAAGCTATGATTTCTACTACTCTGGCCTCATAAATTACTTTTAAAAAAAGCCTTAAGTACAAATAATAAATGTAGAAATAAATTACCCAACGGTAATTTATTTACCGTTGGATAATTTATAAAAAATCTTTTGGAGCCCAAGCCAGTTTGGCTCAGTGGTAGAGCGTCGTCGGTCTGCGGACTGAAAGGTCCCAGGTTCGATTCTGGTCAAGGGTACATACATTGGTTGCAGGCACATCCCCGGTAGGGGGTGTGCAAGAGGCAGCTGGCCGATGTTTCTAGCTCTCTAAATCTCTCCCTTCCTCTCTGTTAAAAAATCAATAAAATATATAAAAAATTGATTTAAAAAAATCTTTTGGCAATTGTGTCACACTGTAGTTCTGATTGAGATTTGCTACTGCACTGTTCTCAAAGTCCAGTACACCTTAACCTTGGTTTAAATAAAAAAAAAAAGTTGCAGATTTTAAATACTTACTTAGCCATAGCATCTTTGACATTCTTATTTGCAAGTGCTAGATAATGATCTATCTGCGCCTGGAGAGAAGGTAAGGGAGATATTAGAAGATGACCATTGCTAAAAAAGAATCTGATTAACTATTGCTATGACCCCACAAATTACAGGCATAAGCAACCACCATATTTCTCACTTGTGTAAGTCTTTGGAAATGGGCACTGATACATTTTTTTTTAATTATTAAATTACTATCTGTGTACATATACCATTACCCCCCTCCCATACATGACTGATACATTTATAAGTTCCACATAATAAAGTGAGCTCTGTATTCTGAAATCTGCAGTTAAATTACCTGATGCCGCTCATAAATAACAGGAACGCTGAAGAGTGAAATCAAAGCTGAAAAGGAAATGCACAACCTTTAGAACAGACTGGTACAATTTAGGGGACACACACACTGAAAAGCCATGAAACCGGCAATGCTCCTAAGCAGGCCAGGCCGTGTTGCTAATGAATGGCTAATCCCCAGGCGCTCCTGGGTGGCCCTGCAAGGAGTGGTGAGGGCCACGCCAGAGCAATGAATTAACTAAGAGGGCTGCAAGAACCACTCCTGGCTACAAATCATGCCACACCAACTTTATAAAATATAGGTAAGGCCACCCTGCTCTGTCACCGTGAGTTGAGCAGTCTTCAGGAATTAAAGTAGCATTTCAATAAACAGGACCGGCAATTTAAAGAGGTCACAACCTCAAACACACCTCCTCTATTTTTCCTACAATATAAGAATCTTCTCCATAAAATCTATAAGCTCCTTATACACACTTCCCCCCCCACCTGCAATTTTTCATTCCAATGCTTTTGTAGACTTACCCAGAATCAGTAGTGTCAGACCATTGAACAAGGCTCCAACATAGGTAAACACCCACATCAACACTGCAAACTATAAGAAAATAATGTTCACCTGTTAAAAACTAAGATAAGCTTCAAGTAAAAGCATCCCACGTAAATGCCAAACTAGTAGAGGCATATTCCTTGGAGACTTGGTATAGTGACATGGATATTTTAGAATCCTAAATGAAACAATAGATTTGATTCATTTTCTCTGAAATCAGAAAGCATGCCAAAGCTACACCATAATAATTCCAGTTCTAACACAGAATTTGGTGTGTTTTTTTTTCACTGTTCCCATTTAAAAGCTAAACAAACAGAAAATTCACTATTAAAAACTGATTTTAAGTACTAAGTGCTTGAAGATCTTCATGAGCTGAATAAGTCAGACATCTGAGTAACAAAGGGGCAGGGAGGACTTATCAAAGAGATCAGGTTCCAGGTACCAAAAATACCACCTCTGGCATTTGATTAAGGATCAGAGGCCCTGTTTGCCCAGTGATGCATGTTTTAACAGCCATAGTTAACCCAGCTCTCTGTCGCATAATCTTTGAATATTATCCTTTTAAAATGTAAAAAACATTCTTAGTTCCCAGGCTGTATAAAACAGGCCATGGCGCAGACAATTTGCTCACCCTTTTGACCTTTCTTCAGGCAACAAAACCTGAGTGCCTACTATGCGCTGGGAACTGAGCAGGCTAGGAGGACACTTTGGATTCCCCACCAACTATCAGTTCTATCAGTAGCAACACTGATTACCCCTACAGCCGAATTTAATTGTTTAAGAAAACAAACACCTGTCAACTGAAAAATCAAACATTAAATGCTGCCCTGGTCTCAGCAACTCCTATGGAACCACTGGCAAAGATTTGAAGCCTGACTCTGGGTTGCAAGCCTCCCTCACCCCCCAGTTTTACAGACTCCTATTGCAGAAGCTAAATATAATTTCTGCACTCGGGCAAGTTTACCACAGAGGAACAGAGCCATCTTCCTCCATTACCACTTACAAGTCTAAAGGGAAGAGAGTCCACCTGCCACATTTTAGAAGAAACTGCTTTGGCAATCAAGATACCCTATGTAACCGAATTCAGATACTATCTCACACACACACACACACACACACACACACACACACGCGCGCGCGCGCACGCTGAAAGTAAGTTCAAATTTGATCACTGGTAAGATGTCCCACTCCAAGTCCACAAGGAGAGAAGCCTGAGACTTCACACCTAGGCTACCTAAGAGACTCAAGTGTCACTGCACTGGCCTCTTGGAGGACAGGCTTCTCCAGAGGGAGGCCTCAAATGCCTGCAGGGCCAGGAGCTGACCTGGGAGATAGCCTGGGTGAGGAATGAGGCAAACAAATGTGTACATCCTCCTGCTCCAGGAGGTCCCTGCAGCCTCGCCGTGCAATTATTGCAGGCCAATGTCACCAAATTTCCCCATTTTAAGAGAAAAAAAAATTCACATCTTTAAATGCTATCACAGAATTTTTAAATGTTGCAGCTAAGTTTGAAGAAAATGTAACACTTCAGACGCCTAAAACAAAAATACCGGGGTAAGGGTTTCTAGAGTACACTCTGCCCAGAAAGAAGGGAGTGGTGGTAAGAACTAGCCTCTAGCAAATACACAGTCACTGTAACTGTTATATAACAAAATGGCAACTGCCATTAGTTTTAACTTACATAACTAACTTACATAGGTTGGTTAACCTCACCAGAAGGTAAGTGTTATTGTTATCCCTACAGCGGAAGAAACCAAGATGCAAATTGCCAGACCAGGACTGCTGTGATCTCAGGTTTATCTGACTCCAGAATCTATCTGCTTTGCTCTACTATGAAATCAGCTAGAGTAACCATTATACATGGGAATTCATCATGAGTATGCATGCTAGTATAAAGAGGCAGAAAAAGGTCAATAAACATTTTAAACATATACACACACCCCAAAACCCTACACCTACAAACACTATTCCACGGAAAATACTTCGAAACATTAAAGCCAATGCAAATAAACCATGGGAGTCAAAGTTCAACTCTGTGGGCAGCAATGAAGCCGGAGGAAAGAGGGGCAAAGTCCAGTGACGCTGTAACAAACACGTGATGAAAGAGGACACGGGCCCTGTCTTGTTTGTCTTCTGTCCAGGGGAATGAAGTTTGACTGTGTGTCACATACCTCATTAAAAAGCTCCCCAGATTTTTATTAGATGACATCTCAATAGGGGCGGAGAATGAATTTTTAAAGGAACTGAAGGGAGGGTACTTAACAGGATTTCGGAAATGGCAATTCTGACATTTTTCTGCATTTTTAAACACTTTGACCTTTTTTGACATCTTCAGCTCATTAGTTAGTATCACTTTGACTGTCTCTACATGTTCTACAGCCCACTTCCCCTTCTAATTTTTCTGTGAGCCAAAGAAACCAGAAAGAAACTGTCAAAATGTGTATGTTAATAACTTCTTAAGAGCCCGGGGCTAGATTTTAATGTTCTTTTGGGTCAGCTATTTCTAGAGTTCAGGCCTTTTCCCCCCCCCTTCACTTTCAGATTTAAGATTGTATTCTGGAACATCCTGGTTTGGCTGATGTTCAGGCAACTATAGCTAGAAATGTTCTTACAATTTTAGCATATATTTTCACTGAAAATCACAGGACTGCTGTCATACAGATTCTGGTCTTTAGCACCCACAGCCATGTGATGGAAAAATAAGAACCTTGGCCTAAACCAACCGGTCTTAGTACCTAATAAACAAAATTAAGACTTTTTCTTGGGATTTTAGGTTTCAAAAGTCAAAAACCTTCTAATCAAGCTCAAAGCCTTGCTCAAGAAGCCCCAAAGCTGAGCCCAGCAAAGATGGTCATATTCTTTTCTTCTACAGCAGAGATTGAGTTGTGAGTGGGAGAAACTGTAACCCAGAGTTTACTGTTTAATGCCACAACTTATATATATATATCTTCATTGATTTCAGAGAGGAAGGCTGAGGGAAAGAGAGAAACATCGATGAGAGAGAATCATTGATTGGCTGTCTCTTGCACGTCCCCTACTGGGGATCAAGCCCACAACCCAGGCATGTGCCCATGACTGGAACTGAACCTGGGACCCTTCAATCCACAGGCTGGCTGACACTCTATCCACTGAGCCAAACCAACTAGGGCAATGCCAGAACTTTTAAAAACAGCAATTCCCCAGGCAATACCCACAGAAAAATTAAATCACAATTTCATGGGTTGGGAAGCCCTCACCCTCCATTCCCAGGTAAAATTTTTAGCGCCTAGATGTTTCCAATGTGCAGCAAAGAGTGAGTGAGGACCACTGTTTTAAAACACGAACCACTACCAAAGATCCCTTATACAAAAGGTCAATCACAGAAATGGAAGTAAACCTTATCTAGCTGGTTTAAATGTATTCAAATATCTTATATTAGTTTTCCAGTGCAATGGGGTGTTATTTAAACAAGGCTGACAAATATTTAACTTAATAAAGTTATCTAGCCTCTGACTCCTCAGGTACTAATAAACTAACACCCATTAGACGCTCTAAGAAAAGGATACATACACAGCTTTCACAACCTAATTTTACTTCCCCTTTCATTCCCCTCCTTCTCTCACCTTACATCTCACACCCAACTGAACAAACCCACTTTACGAAATACAACTTTTAAAACAAAGCCTATGGACTGGTCAAACCACTGGGCTATGAAGAAATTTTATACTAATGTTTGAAATAAGTTCTACTAAATGGAATTACAACTATTGTGTCAGAGATTTTCCAATAACAGTTGCCTAGAATTATCTGAGAAATGGATAGTTGCTCAATCTATGGACACTTGAAATCTTTTCTAGGAATTATTTTCTTATAGTTGATTGCAAAGGAGCAGAACAAATGGGAAGACCACACAGAATTTAAGAGGAGAGGTCTGCAGCACACGTTTTTATCTGTCCACATCACCCACCAAAAGGAGACCTACACCTGGAGCAGTGATCATCACTGTCTCACATCAGGTCTTTCTCATGAGCTCGAATGAAACTTGAAGTTTGGTCATTTCTTCCATCACATTTGAAAGATAGGTTCCTCCCTCACACTGCCCCAAAAAGGTAATAAGTGAGGCGAAGGAAAAGGTTTCCTGTGCTAACAATAGTGGCTCTACAATTTTCAATTTCTGAGAAAGAAGGTTTCAAATAGAAGTAGTGGTAATTGTGACCCAGAATCTAGAAATGTAGATTATATGAATTTAAAGGGCACCAAACCTTTAAGAAGACAGTGAATTAAAGGAAACTCTTTTAAATTTCTGTTTAGAAGCTACTATTTTATATGAGCCACAGAGATTGATGCAATGAATATTTTCTAAATTAAAAAAAAATTACAAATGAAGACTAAATGCCACTGTATTTTCTTGAAATTAGGGGGGGGTCTCCCTTTTCCTAGCTATGAATCATATAAAATCAAAGTAGTTCCAATAAAAAGCAGGTTTCTAAAAATTAAAGAAACTCAGTCCACAAATTCATCTGGTAACTGGAGAGACAGAAGCTACTTATTAGTAAACTTTGCACAGATTTAAAATCTGAATATAAGGAAATAAATCAGGGCAAATCAATTTTTTCCTTACCTATTGAAAAAGTAATAACAATGAGAATTAAAAAAAAAAAACATTTTTTTGTGTGCTTGCTTTAGGGAGAGAGAATATGACTCCTATCAACTGCTATGGCTAAAAGACAAATAGTAATAAAGCTTAAAAAAATCACTTTTTTAAAAAAATGCTCTCTATATAAAGTGAGTCACAATTACTCAAGGAATTCTCACTAGAAAGACAATCATGTTAAGTCATTTTTATGAAGAGTCCAAGAGCAGTATGTTTGTTTGTTTGTTTATCAGCTTTTTTTAAAGAGACATTTTGAGCAAGTATCCTGTGTTCTCTAGTCATCTTATTCAGTGGAAGCAAACAGATGGAATTGTACTCCTCACACATAATGACATTAAGAAAAGGTTAATCTCCGCCTGTGTAGGAATGTACTGTGGTGGTACACCCCACGCAGTAGGAACCACAAGGTTGATGAAGGAAGACCCTTCATGGATATTATCAGAGTGTACTCAGCACCTTTGCATCTGGAGAAAAAGATCCCCTGCCTTATTCTTTTGCCTCAATAGGTTTGAGACCTGAATATGAAGTTCAACAGCACAGTAATTACAAGCGGATACGTGGGGTGGGGGAGAAAGAACAGGGTACAGGGATTCTCTCTCATCATTGATAAATAGCGAGGGAAGGACACTTGACTTGGGATGGTAGACACACAATTCAAAATAGAGGTAGTAAATTATAGAAATGTACATCTGAAACCTATATAATTTTATTAACCAACTAGAGACCCGGTGCACGAAGTTTTGTGCACTGGAGGGGTCCCTCAGCCTGGCCTGCACCCTCCCGCAGTCCTGGACCCCGTGGGGATATCTGCCTGGACACCCCTCCCGCAGTCTGGGACCCCTTGCTCCTTACCGCCCCTACCTGCAGTGGAGGCAGCAGAGGCTCCCCCACCGCCACTGCACTCTCCAGCTGTGAGCCTGGCTTCTGGCTGAGCAGCACTCCCCCTGTGGGAGCCCACTGACCACCAGGAGGCAGCTCCTGAGTTGAGGATCTGCCCCCTGGTGGTCAGCACATCATAGTGACCAGTCGTTCTGCCGTTCGGTCGATTTGCATATTAATGGTTTTATTATATAGGATGTCACCCCAATAAATTTTAAAAAAAAATTTTTAAAGCAAAGTTCATTCTATGTGCTAATAAATTGAAACAACTATTACTTATTCGAAGGCCTGAAAGAATAGCCTTCTGGGGAAGTCACCAAGCAGCTTTCCTTGAGCTCTGGACTTGCCAAATACTGCTACTCAGGAAAATCATTCATATAAATTTCTTCTTTTACTTTTTCTTTTCAAAAGTACTACTAATCCTTAAGGGGAAAAAAGTGGTCAACTATAATTTCAATTGAAGTCTTTTTTCCCAATACTAAGAAACAAAGAGCCTGGCTGGTGTAACTCAGTGGTTGGCACCAATCCAAGAACAAAGAGGTCACAGTTTGATTCCTGGTCAGGGTATATGCCGGGATTGTGGGCTCAGGCTCCAGTGCAGGGAGAACAGGAGGAAGCAGATCAATGATTCTTTCTCATCATTGATGTTTCTATCTCCCTCTCCCTTCCTCTCCGAAATCAATTTAAAAAAACAATCTTTTTAATTTACAGACTGACATCAAAGCACTACTATAAATAAGCACCAAATGCAAGCACTCTATACAAAAGAAGAAAAGGAAAGTAAATTACTACCATTAATCTTATTAGTAATTAACTGGAAGCTCTAAGTCATACACCGAGAGAGGCATACAGCTAAAAATAAAGCCTATCCATTTGCTATTAAGGCTAAGATGTTTGTTAAAAGCAATTTGGGCATTTAAATCTATTCTGACAAGCCCAGAAATAAGTTTCACTGGGCCTAAAGGCCCAATCATCCTAATGCTATGATATCCTTGGCTTGCATGATAAATTGCAAACCCAGTGCATTACTTTTGGAAAAGAAAAATGATGATGGTTACTATCAGAGTGCATTTTTACACAGGCTTAGGTTGGAAACAAGTCTGTCTGAGGCCGAGTTGCAGGAAGTAACACAAAACACTACGGCAAGTTCTACATAAAGAAGTACAACTGTCCCCAAGGCCCCAGCGCCAGGGCTCATGTTACAGGACTGTTTAGTGGTCTGAACCTTGGGAAAGTTCACCTGCAAGGCGAGACTCTAACAGCTGCTATGTAGCAATATCCCAACTCTAAAGAAAAACTTTACAATTACCAGCTGATGATTGGTTGAGATGTTTCAGAATATTAAAGCTCTTGCAAAACAAACATGCCAAGAAAGAGTCCAAGGTATGAAACAGCTGACATGTGTAAATGAATCACACACAAGGTAAGAAATTAAGTGCTATACTCTAAAACAAAATCAGAACAGATTAAGCCGCATTTGGCATTAAATCTATTAATCTTTATCCTTTCAGAATTCCCTTTAAGTCTTGTGATTTCTAAAAGTACTAATTTATAGCCGAAACCGGTTTGGCTCAATGAATAGAGTGTCGGCTTGGGGACTGAAGGGTCCCGGGTTCGATTCCGGTCAAGGGCATGTGCCTTGGTTGCGGGCGTATCTCCAGTAAGGGGTGTGCAAGAGGCAGCTGATCGATGACTCTCTCTTGTCGATGTTTCTAGCTCACTATCTCTTTCCCTTCCTCTCCGTACAAAATCAATAAAATATATTTAAAGAAATAAATAAAAATAAAGTACTAATTTATAACTTATTTTTCTTTAAAAAAGGCAAAGCACTTTTCCTTCATCTCAAATAGCTGATTGGATTCTTAATTTTGAGACCCACGTTTACCGTAACAGGATTTCATTACATCTTTACCTTTTACCTTAATATGGACAAAATGAATGACACTCCTAACTCTTTTGATATTAAATTCTGGGTATGTCAGTAATGAAAAGCAAATAAACTTACCTTCAGAGAATCAACTAAGTCATCGACTAAGAAGAGGCGTCTGAGTTCCTTTATTGTGCAGTTCACATGACCAAGAGCAGAATTGCTGTATTTCTGAACCAGCTCCTCGGATATGGCGACATCAGATTCCAAATAGGCCCTGGAAAACAAAAACACATCGTCATGGTCACCGGGGTGATTCTCCCTGGATGCCTGCACCCAGCAGGCACATGTCCGTAAAGAAGACATGGATAAAATCTCTCTGTATAAAAAGCCTTCCGTTTCCAACTTAAGCACAATGTAGAAATTCACCACGGGGTATTTTATGGATATATGGTGTCAGCTGATGACAAGCACAGAAAAAAAGGATATATTTTGAAGCCAGATTGATCTAACTTTGAATCCGAAGGTCCGCCACTTACTTGGCAGTGTCACTTCAGAAAATGAGTCTTCCCTTTAAGCCTCGGTTTGCTCATTTATAAAATGGGATTCAGGGAATAAAGTGCTTAGCACAATCACACACAAGGCAGTACTCCATAAATGGTAGTCATTATCATTGATTTGTTTTTTTTCTTCAAGTTGACATGTGTCTCCTCAAGTTTTTCTTAACAAAAATCCCATTCGTTTCCATATACTGCACTCTCTCAGCTTAATCTTTAGGTGAGATTGCCCCATATGTCAATCCCCAGACTGTGAAAGGCTGTCAAAAGTATAGTGGCAATCCCAGTAACACGTAACAATTACTGTCCTTTTAGATGCCCTAATCTGTACTGAGAAGCTGGAGTCGTTAACTTTAAGGAGACAACTCTAATGGGGGAGGAGCAAGTCAAGTCTACAATGCAAGGAATTGCTTCATTTGTTACTATTTCAAAAAGGCCATTGTATCTTGGCAAAGGGGAACCAATCAGAAGTGCCAGGCATTCTTTGAATCTATTGGAAGTAGTCCCTTATTCAGTCACTTCCCCTGTCAGTGGACATTAGTTATTCATACTAAAAATAACAGTCCTCTTTGATAGCTCCTTTTCTCTGTAATTTACCTCTACAATATGCCCCAAATATGTCTCCTCGTTTCTATATTCACTATGCCATCATGCAAGTTTAAGTGCTCATTATTTACAAACTGGAATATTCTATCAAGTCTCCAAGCAAGTCCCTCATCTGTCAGCATCCAAATCCATTCCCTTCAGTCAATGGCACATTAGTTTTGAGTGTCCTAGATGGTGCTATGAAGGCTGTACACAGGTGGGAGCTAGGACACCTGCTATGACCTAGCTACATAACCTTGCAAAAAGGTATTTAACTTTTCTGGATCATAGTTCCAACTCTGTATAAAATTAGAGAAATATGCCTTCCTAAATCTCTCAGGCTCAAACATTCTGCAATTGTATGGTTCCAACTTTTCAACCAGAGCCCTCCTAAATCTTTTCACCTTATTTCCTACTATTCACTACATTGCAGCCAAAAAATGAACCACCCATCAAACGTTTTTTAATCTCAATGCCTTGATCATAGTTCTCCCAATCCACAATGCTCCTGTCACCTGGTGGTATCACATCCAGTCAGTTGACCGCATCTCAAATCCCACCCGCACAGGAGGCTTCTACTGCTCTCTCTCTCACCCACAGCCCTACTGTGTAATTCTAACAGTGCTACCTTTTGTCTAACTCTTAGAGTATTTGCCATATCCAACCCTGAACTATGGATATGTGTATATACTTGTATATTTTTCTTATTAGAGTATAAACTATTAAGGACCAGGAAGGTATATCTTTACTAGTATAATGGTCTAGCACAGTTTGTTATTATTAATGAACAAATATTAAGTTATCAAGTTAAAAAGAGTCTAAGATTTCACATCTCCCCTTAAATAAGCAATAATTTATGATGCAGTTTTGAGAAATACAGAAAAGTGGTTGGTATTCTGCTTCTTGTACCACTGGTTCTGTTCTGGCTTAAGGTAAGATGCCTGGCCTGTAGGCACAGAAGCAGCACTCTCCATCAATGCCATACTGTCAATATTTGCATTCGTTCGATGGCATTTACATGGTATTAAGGCACTGCCAGCACTGTCACCACTCTTTCTGTGACCACAGGCATTATATACAGACTGCCATGTTACCTTCACCAGTGTGACTGGAGAAGTTGGAAAAAACGCCCTACAGGCTTAACCTGGCATGTTGGCTGAATTCGCTTCATAATGACTAGAATCTATAATAATAAAAGGATAATATGCTAATTAGACTGGACGTCCTTCCTTCCAGACAAAGCCACAGTGGGTGCGGGCTCAGGCAGAGGCGGTGGGTGGGGGCCAAAGCCCTTGCACAAACTCCGTGCATTGGGCATCTAGTGACTTTTAATGAGTTAGCCTTTGAGCTAAGTATAAGGGTTCCTAAGAAATAAAGAATACAGACAAAAATTACTAGTTTCCCCGCCCCCCAAAGTCTTTAAAATACAATGATGTTTAAAATACAATGATGTATTATATGTAGATACTTTAGAAATGTTGGCTTAAAGATGTTTTTATATATTCCAATATAACCAATTAAAATTATATTCCTTAATGACTTGTGAAATGATATGGCTCTGCCATGTTGGAGCGGCAATTTCAAGTTCCTGCTCTCCAGCTTTTGCTTGTACAGATAAGGCAGACACACAAGAGCCGTTCAGTAAATGTTGGATTCTCCCCCAAAACTTATGTAACATCATCACTTCATCAATATGAAGAGAAAAGCTGGAGAGACACAAATCACCAGTCTTGACAATAAACCAAATATTTTAGTAGGTCTCTTTCTATAAGCTGAAAACCAGCCTCTCCCACTAACATCAACTGGATAATGTCCTAGGTCAGTGGTCAGCAAACTCATTAGTCTAGTCAACAGAGCCAAATATCAACAGTACAACAATTGGAATTTCTTTTCAGAGCCAAATTTTTTAATCTTAAGCTATAAAGGTAGGTACATTGTTATTAACTTAATTAGGGTACCCCTAGGCTGGCCTTTGCTAAAAAATCAAGGGGCACCGAAACTGGTTTGGCTCAATGGATAGAGTGTCGGCCTGCAGATTAAAAGGTCCCAAGTTCGATTCCGGTCAAGGGCATGTACCTTGGTTGCGGGCACATCCCCATTAGGGGTGTGCAAGCAGCAGCTGATTGATGTTTCTCTCTCATCGATGTCTCTAGCTTTCTATCCCTCTCTTCCTCTCTGTAAAAACTCAATAAAATATTTTAAAAAATTTTTTAAAATATTACTACTCAGTAGTAGAGTTAAGCTAATGATTTAGAATTTAGTTAAGCTAATGAACCTATAAAATGACCTTTAGAAAATCTCAAAAGCAGATGCTTTTGGTATAGCTTTCAGCAAACATTTGTAATTATTGTTAAGCAGTAAAGAATCGCATGCCTGTAACTCTACAGATAGAATGAAGTCTCAATACAATTCTGTTCACAGTGTTGCCCAAGTTTGCCTTGCTTTCCAGACATCTCACCTGAATGGGTGGCCTTCATCTGACTTCTGGATAGCTTGGATCACACCCTTATATATCCTAAAGCTGATAGTCACAGAGAGCAGGGCCAAGGCAATGTAGGCCGTTACGCTCACAATGCTGAATACTGTCAACGAGAGTAGCAGGAATAAGCTGGCACCAAACACCACTCCAGTCTTCTTAATGTCTCTCCAGTATAGGAGGTCGACAACTAAAAATTAAAAGAGAAGAAATAGAAATTAGAACATTCTTTTAACCATTTCGATTTGGCACATTTATATTTGCTCCACCCCTCCTCTTTACCCCCTAGCCCCCTCCAAAAAAAGGTCTCAGGGAAAGTCAAAACCAAAAATTTAAAAACTAACTTCATAGACTACATTTATTCTTAGTTGTGTATTAGAATAACAACTGCATCTATTTCTATTTACTATAAAATGTTTCTAATGCAAATCTATATCCTACATGTCAAATCTCTCAAGCGCAGCATAGCAGACTCCAATCCAAAACAACTTTTCTTAAAAATCATCTTCAGTTTTCATCTTCATTCAATGCATGATATATATTCAAATAATAGAAGTCTTAGCATACATTCACAAGAATGAGATTCTTCAGTGACACAAAAATATATTTATCTACAGAAAAATGGCTAATTCAAAAATTGAGAAATTGGAAACTACTAAGAACCACACAGATGGGTTTCACATCTCTGCTTTTAAGAGCTTGCTCTTTAAGAAACTTAATAAAATTGTAACGCAATCTGGCTATCGTTAAAACAAAAATGTCCTATGAAGCAAAAGAATAAAACCACCTTCAGATTACCTAAAAAGCTACTTCCCTCTAGGAATAGATATGTATATAATGCCACAAAAATTTAGGTGTCAAAGAAAAAAAGAACTAAATATGTCCCACTGTTATATAACGCTTATTAATAGTAAGGAGTCAAAGCCTAACTTAGCAATTTTGCTCTTGGCCCATGGCCTCAGGGCCACTATGGGGATCAAATACCCATAGGCCTATGGTCTCAAGGTGGGGTTATGTATAAGCCAGGGAAAACTCTGCAGGGTGCCAAGAGCTCTTGAATTCACAGGCAAAACACAATTAATCTCTCTCTGCATTGTAAACAGTTGGGGAGGGGGAAGGACATTCTTATGGTAACCTTCGAAATCACCACTATTGGTGACTAGTTAAAATAAATGCCACTTCATCACTATTCCTTACCATCATTAAATTCTACTCAGTAAAACCTGATTATGAGATTAAATGACTTTAGACCTGAGAGGTATACCCAATTATCTATTAATGTCTAACCAAATTGCCCAATATAAGAGTTTCTGTCCCAACAGTTTCATCAACTAGATAAGATTTATAATTAGTCAGAATAGCTAGCTTAATAAATATTTAGAGCTATACAAAAGATCTAAATTCTAACAGAATTAAAATTCTAGCAGTTCACAATTCTGGTGCTTTGGTTTTATATCAAGTCAATTTAACCAACATTGCTGACACAGGAATAGTCATACAGATGGCCCAGCATTATTCAGTGATGAAAGCCTAACATAAATTTAATTGCATGAAAGTACAGCAAACCCAACCTACTTCTTCCTTCCCATCTATCATATGGGTTTCTAGAAATAAGGTCTTTTTAACCAATGAAAGCTCTCTAGTAAACAGATAAGCAAGCCCATACATACTGTGTGAAAACAGCTACATGAGAGTAATCAAAGCAAATACCCTGAGAGCCTTGTTGACACAAATCCCAGGGGGTGACCGGGTAAAGCTGCAAAGGTTAAAGCACTGAGAAGGAAGAGAAAGAACAGCTAAGAGAGAGAAGACAATTGGGGACACATAAGACAAAATTAATACGACCTAGAAAAGAAAGGTCTGAGAGGCAATCTATACTGTTATAATTCAAAGTCACAAAAATACAGAAGGATTTCAATCTTTATTTTATTATTTTATTTTGCAAAGGAATTTAAGAGATTATTAGTGATGCTGCAAGGATGAAAACGTATTGTTTCTAGTAAACAGAATTGCAGCCTTAATTGACATGTGCCAATATTTCTAGTCTCACAAATTCCTAAATTGGTTTTAATGAAAAAAGTTTGTAAGATTAAGTTTATCCAAGATCACTGATTCTCAATGTGGAAAGAAGAATAAAAGTCTTATTAAAGTCCTTTCTGATAGGGGTGTGGGCTGACAATTCTCGGGGGGGGGGGGGGGTGGATGCAGGAAGAGACTGAACATGAACTGTGCACCTATGGATGAGGACAGTGGGGGGTAGGGAAAGGGCGGAGGGTGGGGTGGGAACCTGGGGGGGGGGGGAAGAAATGAAAAACCTTTGTAATAATATGAACAATAAAGATTGATTTTAAAAAAATCCTTTCTGAGAAACATTCCAATAGTGTTGCTTTTAAAATACGGTATATTTTATTGACTTTTTACAGAGAAGAAGAGAGAGGGATAGAGAGTTATAAACATCGATGAGAGAGAATCATTGATCAGCTGCCTCTTGCACCCCCCCCCCCCCCCACTGGGGATGTGCCTGCAACTAAGGTACATGCCCTTGATCGGAATAGAACCCGGGACCTTTCAGTACGCAGACTAATGCTCTATCCACTGAGCCAAACCGGTTTTGGCCAAATAGTGTTGCTTTTAACTTTCATCAAAATATCTGTATGCATTAGTTAATTTGAATATTTTTTCAATCCTGATACTAAAATCAGGTGGAAGATATCACAAGAAAACTACAGACCAATATTCCTTATAAATATAGAAACAATAACCTCAACAAAATACTAGTATATTGAATCTAGCAACTTATCAAAAGGATTATACACCATGGCCAAGTGGTATTTATCCCAAGGATACAAAGTGATCCAACATATGAAAAATAACTAATGTAACACACCATATTAACAGAATTAAGGACAAAAACTGCATGATCATCAAAACATACATAAAAAATGCATCTAATATCCAACATCCTTCATTATATATATATATAAAAAAAAAAAAAACCCTCAAGCTAGGAATAGAATGAATGTCCTCAAGCTGATTAAAAAAACAACACACAAACCCGCAGTAACATCAAACTTAATGGTGAACAAAAGCTCTCCCCCTAAGACAAGAAACAAAGGAGATATCTATTCTTTCCACCTTTGGTCAGCACAATCCTGGAAGTATGAGGCAGGGCAATAAATCAAGACAAAGAAATAAAAGACATCCAGACTATAAAGGAAGAATTAAACTATTTCAACTTGCAAATAACTTGATCTTGTATATAGAAAATCCTAAGGAATCCACAAACAAGCTACTAGAACTAATAAGTCCAGAAAGGTTGCAGGATATAAGATTTTTTTTTTAAAAAAAAGCAATTACAGTTCTATATACTAGCAATGAGCAATCTGAGAATGGATTAAGAAAATTTACAACAGCATCAAAAAGAATAAAATACCTAAGGAACAAAGTACAGAAAGTACAAGACTTACAAACTTAAAACTACAAAATACTGCTTAAAGAAATTAAAGAAGACTTAAATGAAAAGACATCCCATGTTTATGTATTAGAAGGCATTATTATTAAGATAGTAATGCTATTCAAACTGATCTATACGGAATCTCTATCAAAATTCTAGACAGTTTTTTTTAGCAGAAATTGGCAAGCCAATTGTAAAAATCACCTAAAAATGCAGGGCATCCAGAATAGCCAAAATAATCTTGAAAAAACAACAAATTTGGAGAACACTTCCCCTTTTTAAAACTTCCTACAAACCTACAGTAGTAGTTGCACAAGATGGAGAGAGATCAGTGGAATAAATTAAGAGTCCAAAATAAACCCTTACGTTTATAGTCAACCTGATTTCAACAAGGTGTCAAGACAATTCATTGAGGAAAATAATACTTTCTTTCAACAAATGGTGCTTGGAAGAATGAAATTGGACCCTTACTTTACACCATATATTAAAAAAATGGACCAAAGGCCTAAAAAGCTTAAACTATAAAACTCTTAGAAGAAGAAAAAATAGGCACAAATCTTCATTACTTTGGGTGGGAGAGTAAAATTCCACCACTGTGAAAAAGTTTGGCAATTGCTCAAAAAGTTAAACACAGAGTAACAATATGACCCAGCAATTCCACTTCTAGGAATTCCTACCCGAAAGACTAGAAAAGAAAACCTTCCAGAATGTCCACACAAAAACTTGTACAATGAACGCTTATAGCAGCACTATCCATAATAATTGAAAAGAAGAAACACCCAAATATCCATAACTGATGAATCGATAAAATATGGTGCCCTGACAGGTGTGCACCGGAAGGTCATGTTTGATTCCCAGTCAGGGCACATCCCCAAGTGTGGGTTCGATCCCTAGTGGGGTGTGTACAGGAGGCAACTGGTTGATGTTTCTCTCTCACATCGATGTTTGTCTCTGTCTCCCTTCCTCTCTCTGAATTAAAAAAAAAAAAAAAATCCTTGGGTGAGGAATATATAGTATATCCACACAATGAAATATAATTGGGCCAGGAAAAAAAAAGTGAAGTTCTGATAGTACTACAACATGTTTGAAAATATTCTGCTAAGTGAAAGAAGCCAGACACCAAAGGTCACATAGTTGTGTAAGCCTGTTTATATGCATGTCTAGAGTTGGCAATTCTATAGTGACTGAAAGTGGATTCGTGGTTGCCAGGAACTGGGAGGAGTGGAGATGGGGAATGACTGCTAAAGGAGGCTGGAGGGATGATGAAAATGTTCTGAAATTAGATAATGGTGATGGTTACACAATTCTGTGGCCATACTAAATATCAATGAATTATATACTTAAAAAAATGAAAAGGTAACTAAAAAATTTACTTGTTTTAACATCTATTTATCTACTAAGTTCAAACTCTACAAGAAAGCATGTTGTGCTAAAAGCGGTTTGGCTCAGTGGATAGAGCCAAATAGTGCTAGTACACACAGAAGTCATCCAATTACATCTTGCCTCAAATCAAATTCTTACTGAATCTCTTCCTTCAATAGCCTGAAGTCAAGTTTCAACGCTAAAATCTTTTGTCGGCCTGCGGACTGAAAGGTCCCAGGTTCGATTCTCATCAAAGGCATGTACCTTGGTTGCGGGCACATCCCCAGTAGGGGGTGTGCAGGAGGCAGCTGATTGATGTTTCTCTCTCATCGATGTTTCTAACTCTCTATCCCTCTCCTTTCCTCTCTGTAAAA